GTAAATTCAAGGATGAGATCATTCCTGTTAAAACCAAGGTATATTCCAGATCCTCCTTATAATAACTGTAACATTTAAGACTTCTCCTGGTGCATTAGTTACTGAACTTCATTCGTGTTCTTATGTTAATCACTAGCTTGTGTTTTATATTTCAGCTTGTTGACCCGAAGACAGGTGAGGAGAAACCCATTACAGTTTCTGTTGATGATGGGATCCGACCAAGCACAACCCTTGCTACTCTTGGGAAGCTGAAGCCAGTGTTTAAGAAGGATGGAACCACAACTGCTGGTACGTTTCCAGATTCAAATGTTTAATTGCAGAGAGCACAGCTCTTTTCTCTCACAAATATTGAATCTGTTGTTTCACTTGTTCGGTCTCAAACAGGAAATTCCAGCCAAGTCAGTGATGGTGCAGGAGCTGTTCTCCTCATGAAGAGAAGTGTTGCGACGCAGAAAGGACTTCCTATTCTTGGTGTATTCAGGTGGGTGATAATTCTTTATAAAGCTGTAAGATGGAAATCCCGAAAACTGCAGTTGAACTTAACAGAGATGCTAGTATCTGTAGAACTTACATTGATCTTTCTGGATCTACCGACATTTTACGGCTTTCCCTGATTTAGCACTACTGTTCAAATTGCAGGACATTTGCTGCAGTTGGTGTTGACCCAGCAATCATGGGTATCGGTCCAGCAGTTGCCATTCCTGCTGCTATTAAAGCAGCTGGTTTAGAACTCGATGACATCGACTTGTTTGAGATCAACGAGGTAAATAGCAAACATTTCCATGATCTTGTTACCATATATCATCTCCCGCATATTCTGATGATACCCTCGGTTTTAATCCTTGCTTGTTCAGGCATTTGCATCTCAGTTTGTTTATTGCCGTAACAAATTGGGACTTGACCCAGAGAAAATCAATGTCAACGGAGGCGCCATGGCCATAGGACATCCTTTGGGCGCTACAGGTATATCTGATAAGAACAGAGCTATGATGTTGCTATTCTGATGTGAACAGAGCTAATGCTTGTTAAAATCTCTCACAGGAGCACGTTGTGTTGCTACTTTGTTGCACGAGATGAAACGCCGTGGAAAAGACTGTCGTTTTGGGGTAGTGTCAATGTGCATTGGTATGTTTTTTTTACATTTCTCACTCTTTCATTTTGAATAGAATTCAGTGTCTGAAAAATATTTTGGGATTTTGTCGAATCTGGCAGGGACGGGGATGGGTGCAGCGGCCGTGTTTGAGAGAGGAGACGGAGTTGATGAGCTACGCAATGCAAGGAAAGTGGAAACGCAAGGTCTTTTGTCCAAGGACGCTCGCTAGAGAGATTAAGATCACCAAAACCAACCCTTGCCCTCTCCAAAATATTTGATCTCTATCTCTTCTCCTTTGGAGAAACAGAACCTGGTCCTTTTTCTTCAGTTTACTTTATTATAACAGTTTTGAATAAAGCACACAACAAATGTTTGCCTGAGTCTTGTGTTCTTAACTTGACCAGGTCACGTGTTTAGTATTTTTAACGTGAAGGGGATAATCTTTATATTGTATTCAGAATATAGTGTTCTTCTCCAATTTCATTTCTTGACTTTAGGTTTCAAATCTAAGTCAGAGGTTTGACTTCTTGATGGTTTATAATGTGCAAAATAATATTTTCAACATCAATCAGGGGTGGTGGCGCAGTTGGCTAGCGCGTAGGTCTCATAGCTATTGAGTAATCCTGAGGTCGAGAGTTCGAGCCTCTCTCACCCCA